TAAAAAAAAAAAAATAAAAAGGAAGTACCATTAGTCCCATTTCACAGATGAGGAAGCTGAGGTACTTGATGCAACTTGCATGGGGTCACACAGCAGGCTGGTGACAGGGCCAGGAACAGGATTCAGGTCTCCTCAATCCCAGATCAATGCTCTCCCCACTATACTGTATATTTCCACCAATTTAGCTCCTGGTAAAGGACATGGTGAAACAACAGAAAGAGTTGCAAGGCTTACCACTTGGCAGACACATTACAGCTCACCCTTTAGAGCTGGGTCTCCATGATGTTTCTCAATAAGGCTCAATAAGTGGAGAAAGCTTTCATTTCCTGGATCCTGTTCTATGGACAAGTTTATCATCCAGGCCCTGCCTGTTCCATTTGGGTAGTAGATGCCTCTTCTGATTGTCTGCCTGCCCGTTTCAGAACAAGAGGGAGTACTACGAACAAACCCTGATCCAGGAGCTCAAGAAGAACCAGCATTTACAGGAGTATGTAAGGCAGTTAGAAGGCAATCGACACCACAGCAGGGAGAAAAGGACCTCAGCTGTAAGTCTGTTACAAACCCTCCTCCCTCTTACATTAGAATACAGGATTTTGGCATGCATCCAAAGGCTACAGTGTTACAAACAGAGGGCTATGATTCATTGGGCTTCAAGAGCATTCAAGGTTGCTGCTCAGAAAACAGACACCTCGGTCGTCACTCGGGGAGGGAGAGGAGCCCCATTATCTTCAGAACAGTTCCTGGGTTTTGGAAAGGCACCCATCCTGGTCATCAGCCTGCTGATTTGGGATGAAAGACAGCATCAGCAGCTTAGTGCAGATGCAGACATGGGTTTTAGAATGTCCTAGGCTGTGCAAGCCTAGGGAGCTGGCTACCATGGTCAGGTATCAGCACCAAGTAAGACCTACTCCCCAAAGACCACTACTGCAGTTCAGGATGCACATGTTAAATGTGGATCTGGAGTAGGTTTTTTGAATTTGGGTGTCCATCTTGGACTCCAGCAGAGCCTTCTACACCAGGAATTGTTCTGGAAGAGTTATTCAGGCAAAGCCGTTCCAGAATAGCCATGTGTACCCATATACTCTGGAAGTAGTGTGTACAAGGGAGTTATCTGGGAATCACTAGGATGCTTTAGATCAGCAATTCTTAACACGTGGGTCACAAGAACCTATGGAAGGGTTGTGAACAAACTTTAAAAATGGATTCCCCATTAAAGGATAAAACAAATGGGAAACATGGCTTTTTCCTTGCAGTCTGGCAAGAGTTCCAGCCTGCAAAGGGCTGTTTGCGCCCCCACCCATGCCCCACACACTGGGGGGCTGGGGGCAGTGGGTTGGGAGCAAGGGGCACTGGGGTCAGGACTGGTCAATGTTTACAAATGGGTCCTGGTGCAAAAAAAGGTTGAAAACCACTACTTTAGATTACATCTCACCTTAATCCTAATTCATCTTTAAGTGTAGACAAGCCATTAGAGGAGTATGGGACCTCGTCTGAGCAGAGTTAGATAGCACACAAAGAACTCACCACCTGCGGCATGGGGGCTAGAACAGAACAGCAGAACAGCTGCTGTCTCAGTGAAAACCAAATTGTAGTCTTAGATCATATGACCTTGCCAGGCAATCAGCACTCAGTCCTCTTTCCACTGCACCTCCCAAGGTCTTCCTGGTTGATGTTGACTTTCAAGAGTGACACAGCTTGGTTACAATTGTACTCTTTGGGCTGTCCAATAAGCACTCCACTGTGCTTTGTTCTTAATAGGAACCAAGCTGGATCAAGGCTCCAGTATAAAGTCAGTCCCACTCTCCAGCAGCCAGTTGCAGTGCTGGAGAATCATTTCAGTGCAACCATACTGAAAGCATAGGTTTCAAAACAGGGTGACAGTCACAATAACCACCACACTGTTACCTGTATTACAGCAACATCTAAATGCCCCAGGATGATGTAGAGTTCCTGTTGTGTAGCAAGCACCTCTGCTCGTAGGATCTTACAGCTGAAGCAGACTAGATAAATAAAGGGTGGTAAGAAGAAAAGCTAATACTCAGACAGGTAGATGCTTGATTGAGGTCATATAATGGGCTGGCTCAGAGGCAGGAACAACCCATATTTCCTAAGTGCCCAGTGTTTAATCACTGGACCATGCTGTCACATCAAGACAAAAGTCCTAGAACTGTTGTTCCTCCTATCTTGTTGCTATCAGCCACTCAGACTTGTCTTGAGTGAATTGAGCACCTTCCTCTTACAGTAATCATGACTCAAAATTGCCCAAAATAAACTGGTGCAGAAGATACCCAATTTTACTGTAATGAGACAGCCAGGATATCTGCTGTAGTCTCTTCAGTGGCAGAGTACTCCCTTGAGAGCAGGTTGGGTACCATGACTCCTTAGTTTTGCCTTTACACTTTTGCTGTCTGCTGCCTCAGGCATGGTCCAGTCTTCTATCACAAGTCCCATGCCAACAATACAGGCATGACTCAGGATTTCCATTGACTAATACACTGTTCAGGCACTCAGAACTGGCCTGTCCTGCTGAGTTCCAGCAGGTTGTGAGCTGGTTCCTGCAGTGTTGCCTGGGAGATGCTGTGGAACAGGTACAGTGGCCAGTGGGACCATTCCTCTACCCAGAAAGGTCCAGGTTACAAACAACAGGTTCAACAGCAGATATTTCCCACACAGAATCCCTAACTCTGGCTGGTAGCAGCATAATGGGGCTGTTACTTTGACACGGAACTGCAGCTAGCAGTGTACACAGTATCAGGGAAAGGAAAGAGCAACCCACGGGACCAATGTTAAATTGACCAGCTTTTCTAAGATACTAGTCATTTTCAAGAAGTGATGATGCTGCTGGAGGATGCCAAGAGCTGACCTTCAAGAATTGCTTTCCTTAGGGTGCAGAGGTGTTTTCATCCATGCCCTGGGAGGAATTCCCAGATTTCCAGTTCCAACTTCAGAAGAATGTGAAGGAGAATTCTCCAAGGAAACACGAAGCAGCTGGTCCAAAAGTGCAAGGCAGTGACAGCTGCAAGCCCAGGAAGTGTCAGCACTTCCCACATTTTAATAGCAGCTCAGACCCTGAAAAAGAGGTGACAGACCTGAAGGACCAGCTGGAAGCCCTGAAGTGCCAGGTAACTCCGTACGGGTCACCTGAGGTGCAGGTGCTCCAGGGGAAAGTGACTGGGGAGTGGGGAGAGGAGAGAATCCTGCTTAGATATTTGCTGTGGCTGACACCTGAGGAAGAAAGGGCCTGGCTAATGTCCATTTGCCGTGAACTCCATGCCTCTTCAGTGTCCCACAGGAAGAGCCGAGTGGTGATCCATATGCCGGCAGCCCTGCAGTATTCCTCTAACACTGTATCATTATACATGGAGCTGCCAGGGGGAAAAGGGGGCCCTGACCCTGCATGAGAATTGCTTTGCAGCCTTCCTTACCAGGCAAGGTCAGGCAGACTCCTGATAGACACCTCTTCCTGCTTTCACAGACAGAAATTTATGAGGCAGATTACAGGACAGAACACAAAGACCGGGAGCGCATCAAGGCAGAGAACGAGAAGCTGCGGAAGAAGGAGGAGGAGATGAGGCAGCAGATGGCACTTCTGCAGGAGCAGGTGGGTCCCTCCCTGGATGGCCTCCCTGCCAATGCCATCAACCTGCAGAAGAATGGAGCAGCTGAACAAGATGTGCACGAGTCTCCCAATCAGTGCAGAACAGTAGGGCTGCACAGAATGGCACCGTTCCATTTCGCCTCGAATTTCGAGGTTTCAATGGAACAGCGTTCTGTTTCAAATTTCATTTCGATTCGAAACAGCTGTTCCGTTTTGCTTTGCCAAAACAGTGAGGCTGCTTCGACATTTCACTAGATCAGGCTGGGGCCAGGGAGTCACCCAGCTGGGCTGACTCCCTGCGCCCTGCCCCATCCAACACTGGGGGATGGGAAGTCAGTCCAGCTGGACTGACTTCCCATCCCCAACGCTATGGTCTAAACATTTCGACTAGCCTCGTTTTGTTTGAGGCTGTATCGACGCCCTTTGTTTCATTTTGATTTTGCTGCTTCAACATCAAAATGTGGTGTCAAAATGAAACGGCCAGTGAAATGTTGCACAGCCCTACAGAACAGATCTAGGGAGAGCAGGTTTGCCTTGCTAGATCAAAACAGCCCAAGCTAGTTTTGCTTCGTGCTTTTGGCACTGACCAATTCCCAATGCTTCTGAAAAAGAGGGAAAGACCTGCCTAAGTGCTCTGTACAAGTTACATAGCACATGAACTGAGGGGGGCATGTAGGGGAGTCCTTCCTGGATCCTTTGTGAAGTGTCCCAACTATGACATTGGATTCTTCATAGGATTGGGGTTTGCAGAGTTACAGCCATTAGCAGATTCTGCATTTAAAATATGGTTATGGCAAAGAAGTAGTTCAGCAAGAGCAGCTCCCTACTCTGACCTGCTTCAACAGCCAACTGCTGGACATTACGGCAACAGGCTCTTTAGAAGAATTGAGAAATTAGATCTAATTTTAATGACAAAATATTTTGCTACAGGCTCTGCAAAGCCAGCACAGCCTGACCCCCACACCTCAGCAGCATGTTTAAGGAAGAGCAATGGCACATTCTGCCTTCAGTTTACAGCAGTGAGCACAAACAACAGGTGCAGGGAAGAACAGTGCCCAACTTCCCAGTCCCAAGAGAAGGTCATTGAACTGGCAATTCAAAAAACATCCCGCTCTTGTGATCCCAGTCAAACACAGCTGGCCAGCATCCAGCAGCCACAAGCTATTTAAAAGAGCATTGCTTTTTGAAAGCAATGCAAGACACTCATTCCAGCCAGTCATGCCCAGCTTGTGTAAACTCCCTGATCTCCAGTTATACCAAGTTAATTTCCACCCCTGCAATAGGTTCCTGGTCTCCAAGTAGATGGCACAAGGCTCCTTACCCTCAACATCCCAGAACACTTGCTCTGCAAAGCCTGAGGATTCACACTAGTCATGTATTGGGCTCAAAGACTTACCCTCTTTCCATCCTGTGTTCCTATTTATAAAGGCAGCTAATTGCCAGGCTGAGGACTAGATAGGTGAACAGCTGAAAGTTTTTCTCCTGCTCTTTTATAGAAAGCCCTGGCCTTATAGGGAAAAGGAAATCAGGGCAGGAGATAGGAATGAGTCCCCAGATGGGCCTGGATAGGGTTTGGGCCATGTTCAAAGCTGGCTTAATGTCTCAGTTGCACAGACCTGCCTTGAGATCCCTGCATCAGTTCTCTTTTAATTTTTTTTATTTGCTTCTCCATAGCTCAAGATTTTTGAGGATGACTTCAGGAAGGAAAGGTCAGATAAGCAGCTGCTTCAGCGCCTCTTGAAGAGCAAGTCTCACCCCAAAGAGCCCATCCTGGTTCATCGCTGCAACAGCCATGAGAAGCCACCAGCACCCATTTCCTCTGCACACAGCACTTCTTCCTCCACACCCAAGCAAGGCACCTGCAACAAGCACTGTGAGAAGCATGGCCCCAAGACAGGGGAGCAGACCAAGCATCACCAGCCCCCAGATGCTCAAGCACAGGCCTCCCCTTTCAACAGAGACTACTAGGAAGGAAAGACACAAACAGCAGACAGAACTCCAAGGCAGTCTCTTGTAAGCTAATACATCATCTTCTGCCATCATTTCCAGCTGGGTCCATATTTCTAATGCAACTAGGAACTAGTTGTAGTGCTGTTCTGCACCAGGCAGGCAAATCACCACAGATGCTTTCAGCTGTCACTACTGGTTACAGCTCAGACCAAATCAGGGCTTGAGGGCTGATCCAGTTCCAATGCAGCAGAAGCCCAGATGAACTGCCTTGCTTCCTCTCTTGTCTTTTGTCCACACCACTGAAATAACAATGGAGTGTTTGTGAGCAGGCCTTGATGTGAACCCACCTCCAAAGGCAGTTCATGCTCCCTTGCTCCTAGACCACCTCCAGCTTCAGGCTAACTTCCAACATACTCTAGGGAGATAAAGCTTGAAGAAGCACATTGTCCCACACATCAAGAAGGGCACTGAGAAAAAGGAGGCCTCAAGGTAAAATTAGGTGACGCTTCTGTTTGCATCTGAAAAGGGGTCATTGCTCCTATTGCTGTAAAAGGACTCCAGGCTCCTTTGCTATATTTTGTCCTCAATTAACAGTGTCTTCCAGTGCCTCATTAAGTCTTGGAGGACTTCAGCTCTGCTATAGTAGCTCTCACTTACACCAGAAACTCAGCCAGAGAAAACCAGGGACAACTTGTTTTTATTTATTTTAACCTTTTCCCCTAGATTTTATGGATGTGGAGCTTTGCACAATCTATTAAAAGTACATACAAATACCTTGGTTTCTAAGCGCCTGTCAGACAGGCAGCAGTATGTTCTTTTCTTCATTAGAAACCAATGGCAGCTGACCCGGTAGCTCTGGAGATAAAGTAAAGGTTTCTGTCTTCAAGGGGGTGGGGAAAGGTACAATGTCTGGCCTGCAAAAGAGGAAACTTCCTTATATTTCTCCATCTGTGCCCCAAGAATGGGGTGAGGAGCTCACTCATATGGCCTCAGGAGCAGTTTCATTAGTTGGTTGTGGCAACACCAGCCAGTCTGTAATGTAGACTGCTGTCCATTAGGAACTGGGCTGAATGCAACTGGTCACAGGTTGGGCCCTCGCTGCATTCAGACAGTGACCTAGAGCTGAAAGCCCCCAAATCCAAGCAAAACCAACCTCCTCAGTAGGCAACTGTTAACAACAAAACTGTGTTGCTTCAAAAGGCAACCTAGAGGTGGGCTGGATACCCACTTTGTTAAGCATCTGTGGAAGGATCTTATGTTACGTTTTATCTGATGCATGATAGACACATGAGCTTGTGTGGTTAGCCAATGCTTCTGCAGGCATCAGTGCTCAGAAACCAAAGTTGTGTGGCATAAATACCTAGAGCACAGATAACCAGCTCAGAAATACCAACATACTAAGGTTACAGCCACCTCAGAAATCCAGAGTCATTCTGGCATGAAGAGCATCTACACACAGAGTTATGAATCCCTAGGTTTGGCAGGTTAGTAACTGGGTCATGAAACTCTGAACACCTACTCATAGGAGAAATGGGAAGAGTCTTACAACCAAAGTCTGCCTTTAAACTCCAGTAAAAAGTCTCCAAATAAGGAAATTTTACTGCCTTCCATACTAAGGGGAAATACCAAACACCCAGTCAGCAATACTATGCCTCAAAGGTCTACAACAAACCCAAAAGAAAAAAAGACTCAGTGTTAGAACACTCTCCTTAAAAGAGGTCTCATGTCCCACAATTTTATACCCAAAGACTACACCAGGGGATCTCAAAGCAGAGGTTCTTCCAGGCAAAACATTTCACAAACATTAAGGCTCACAACACTGCTGGAAGGTAAGTTTTCCCCAGACAACATATGTGGTAAAAGAGGTGATGTGATTGGTATGTCGTCACACAGCAAGACAGTATCACTGGGAAATGGAATCCCAGACTGACCCCAAGGCCTATAGCAGATGTTTATGATAGTACTGTACCAAACAGTTCCTATCAACATCCCCATCCAGACCCCACACTGTTACTGTGGAAAGGATAATGCTTAGTTATATGAGGCAGTTGCGTTAGAAGACTTGAGAGCCCACAATTGAACATGCATCAATTTGTAGATTCAAAAATATAAAGTGGGTGTCAAAGATAGGGCCCCATCATCCAGCCCCTGGTGCTGGCCCTGGGTCTTGAGTGGACCCACATGCAAGTCTTCTAATGTAACTGCCTCGTATAACTAAGCATTATCCTTTCCACAGCAACAGTGTGGGGTCTGGATAGGAATATTGCTAGGAACTGCAAGTCACACATGGCATCCCATCTGGACATTAGCTGTACGTGGCACCTGTTCCAGGACCCGTGCTGCATGCAGCACCCACACGAGGCCAGTTTGAGAGGTGGGGCAGAAGTTGTCGAGCAAGTGTACTAAAGAGCCTTATAACCAAGAACTCCGTTAAAGTCACAAACCATGCAGAGCATGGAACTCCAAGAAAGACCAAGGACTGGATCAACTTCAGTGGGATTTCAGTGCTTTTCAAATGTAATTCTAACCATCAACCAAGCTCTGATCCACCCAGTTCTTAGGCCATGAATCCAGTGGTGATCAACAAGAGCATTGTGGCTTTTAAATAAAAGATGTAAAGGGAAACAAATCAGCTCAGAGAGAAGAGCAGCCTATAGCAAGTGTTGCTGCAGGGGACACTGCCAGTAGCAATTAATCCAACAAACACAGCAAGCTGCATGCAAATCTTCCATGTTGAACTGCTGACACACCAGCATATATCCACCAATCTTAATCCTCCTCTACTAGCCTAGCATCTCTCTCAAGTGCTTCTGGGACAGGAGCTTTTCCTTCATATTGCTATTATCTTGGACTTATAGTCAAACCTTCAAGTTAGACATGCAGCAGCACTAACATACCATCTAAATACAGAATAACTGGTGTACTGTATGTTGGTCAAGCCAAAGATTTTCCCTTTCATTAGAGTAAGGCTGGTTAAAATTAACCCTGATTAGTGCTTTCTGTACTGTTTACCTGTGATCTCATATGATGTCTGACAGTCTGTGTAGACCGTGAGTTAAGTTGTGTTTAGCATCAGGTCAGTTAGAATGACTCCTGACAGTCATGGGCCTCACACTATACTGAAAACAAGGCCAGAGTAGACAGGGTTAATGATCTGAGTTCTTCTGTAAGCAAACACAATTACAGGATTTCAGTCCTCAGAAACCGTTTGTATAAAACACCTGACAGTCCTTTTGCTCTTCTGTCAATTCATCACTAAAACAGCAGCTTGAATTCCCCCCCCCACCTATACAGACACCACCGCAGTGTTCAGCAACAAGATGCCTCCACGGTTATTGATTTAGGCCCAAGAGTTCCTGGCACAAGTATGAATGAGATTCAGTACTAGGACAAGCAGCCACGATTGCTCAGAAGCAAGTGTCCTGGACAAGATCTTGATAGAATTAATGTGTAAGCACTCCATTTTCCAATGTGCCAATCAAATAGATGCTAGTCTTTTGGGGAGTAAGGGAACAATACGCACAGATTTTCTAATCTCACACTCCAATCAGTAGAGGAAAGGGAGTGGAGACACCCAAGAAACTTTTCAGTAGACCTTTGAAAAGAGTGGTTGTATTAGGAAACAGGAACCCCATACTTCAAAGTTGTTTTTTATATGTTGTGCCTTAAATCTGAAAGAAGGCAGAGGAATTAGAACAAGCAGGTTAGATTTCTAAGTGAAATGCTAGCAGAAAAGCATTTCAACTGTGCATGCCACAATTCAAGAAATGTGTCCAGCCCTCAGCTGCTTAGCATGTACTGCCCAAAGCTTCTTGCCATACAGAAGATAGGGGACTGCAACTTTATAAAAGGACTTCAAATGCCAGTAGGCTGCAGTTATGAACAGTTGACCTCAGTATTCCCCAAGGAAGTGAAGATCCATTTAATAAATCAACCTTTAAAAAGGGGAACAGTTCTCATTTTAAGACCAACTGTAGTCTCTTTCCTCCATGCTGCAGCTTCATTCAAACAGCAGGAAGGAAGGAAATGGTTACAGAACCCCCCAGGAGCAAAGGGCAACAGAACAGACTGGCACTGGGAGGCCATTACAACCCGTCTTCATAAATTTACAGATGCAGTAAGTGAGCTAGCAACATACCCCACAACCTCTGCCCTGACAGAACTGAAAATATTATGGGTACATTGCATTAAAGCAGGAAGATTATTTGGGAAGAAGAGACAGTGATGGGAACTTAGCCAGCAAGGTATGCTGGGGATGTAAAGTGAAGATTAAGAGTGTTTTCATTTGACCACTGTTGGAGTGGTTAAGACAAGTAGTGTCGCATTCACCTCAACGCTTGTTCCTTGCAGATGCACACATTATGGTACATCACAGTGACATTAATCGTGCATGTCTTTGGGAGACAAAAGAACACAACAGGACCCCGTTAAAATTTAGTTCTTGCAACATGAAATTACATTTCCGTCTTGCCCCTAAATCTTAAGCTCCATCAACAGAAGATCGAGATACGGCCGTAATAAGTAATTAAAAGGTTGAGTTCTCCAAACCAGCCAAAAATAGGACTTGCTTCACATCCCATTCCCTGCTGCTTGATGATGAATATCAACAGGACTTCTCTCAGGGCAGCAGGAACAACCCTGTTAGCACTGGTCTATAAAACACTGCTGGTGCTATAGCAAATCCTGTGGTGGAATGTTGATCTCACATGCCAAGGTTTCTTTGATGCCAAAACTAAACACTGCCCTCTGATGGCAATGCCCCTCTGCAGCTTTAAATCAATCTGCTATTTCAAATAAATACCAAGCAACAAACTGATAGCAAGGAGCACAATTCCGTTACAAGCTTGTCTTTGAAAGCAACCAAAACAATGCTCCATTCAGAACAGTGAAGAAAAACAGTTTAAATCTTTCATCACAATGCTGTGCACCAAGTTAAACAGCTGGTAAACTGACACAAGGGCTGTTCTAGCAGACTTATCACACAGGGAGGGATACTCATCTCACACTGGAGGGTGCGTATTATAAACAGCCAAGGACCTGCTTGAAAGTACCCAAAGCAGGTGAGCACCTAAGATACTAGGTGCAGCTGTAACATACATACTAGTTACAGTAGCCCAGCTAACATGCTTTATTAACCCATCTGAAATTGGGGAAGTTTAGACCATGAACAGACACAATGAAAGAGTGAACTTCAGGTTACTACACCAACGTGCTCCACAGAAGACACAAGTGGGATGAAGAAAGTCTACATCACACAACAATTTCCATGGTAAGTAATATTTTCAGCATTATTCTGCTTTGTATCTTAGCTACTGAAATTTTACTTCAAGAAACTAGCAGCTTGTGAACTGCTCCAAGTTGCTTCCCCTTCTCTCAACACATGGTATTAGAAAATTCATTTTTGCATCCTGCAACAGTAATGTACATCTTCCTACTTCTATGCCTCATTTAACCATCTAACATCTTACAGGTACAGCATTCAAACCTGCTCCAAACTGCAACTGTCATAGGATGGTGAAATTAAAACCAAAATTAGGAATGGATGCTCAGAATGTGGAGGGACAGGACATTTTCTGCTTTCCCCAGCAGTATTTGAGGTTTGAGAAAGCACGGATGACAAGAGCAGAGGGCCAAGAATCTTTCCTGGTAATTGCCTGGATGCTTCTATAATTGAAGTCCCCTAGATTCAAGCAGCACATTGGAGAGTTGCACTTGGAGATTAAAAAAAAAAATTCTCAAGATTTCTACGGGCTGAACTTCAGAACAGGAGCTGCAATGGACAGGGATTACCTGAGGGGAGCTTTTGTTGTTTCACTCCCCCTTGTTCCTGTATGGGATTGATTTGGGTTGGTAGCACAGGCTGGCCATACTGGCATATCCCATGCCATAGCACGCACCATACTAGTCACCTCGGGAGCACTAGAAGTCTCATCAGCTTATATTATCCACTCAAAAAACCTTCCATGCGATGAAATGTCTGCATTTTTAGTGCACCTGGGTAACAGGAAATTTCACTCCTGCTGGAATGCTGACTCCGCAACTCTAGGTTTCAAAATAACCCTGACAGCAAAGGATATAGATGTGCCCTGTGAACAGGCTTCATGAGGCACTGATGTTCAATAATGTATAAATTTAGAAATGCTGGACAATTCTGGAGGTATTGTGTTGGGCTAAGTAAAGACAAGTACTTCACATTTCAGACCCTGTGAAAAATTTGCTTTTTACTAGTTTGTCTTGGAAGTAAAGTGATAGGTTGAGGGAAACATGAGGAAAGAACAAATCAAAAGTGCTGGACTTTTTAGACTCAGTAACATCTCACTCCGCAAACACCAACACTAACCCCATCCAGTTCATCACCTTAGAGAGTTCCCTTAACAACAGTGCTGTTCATTTTTCCCATGTTTAATGGAGAAGCGAGACAAGTCCAGTAAAAATAAATTAGACAGTAATGTAGCGTCACAATGGTGTGCAATACTGTCAGACTGGCTTTTTTCAGCTAACTTAGCTCATGCACACATGATCCAGTCAATGGAACAGACATTGTTTCTCCTTTCCCTCTGCAGCACCTCATATGGATGAAGACCTGGAGTGCAAGGACCATTAAGAGGAAGCAGTGCTTTCTACTCTTTGCCTTTAAGAAGGATGATCTTTTCCCCACACTATGGCAAGTTTCAATCACAGCAAAAACATTAAAATGACTGAAAATGGCTTTATGGCTAAAATGCCCTTTGATCAAGTGAATTCTGACACAATTAAAAAAAATCCCTCTCAAATGAGGATCTGGAAGTGTCTGATTAAAAAAAAAAAGACCCAAACATTAAGAAGAGAGAAATGCAGCTACTAAATCTCTTTGCCTATCCCAATGGCAAAGCTGCCTCAATGCAGAACAAGAAAACCACTTCCAGAGCTCTGGGAACTGAAATCCCTGGTAGCAAAAATTTATTTTCACGACTGAAGACAAGGAGAAATTTATAAATGTATTCTAGCAACTTGCTGATAAAATAGTAAGTATTCCATCCTTGTGATTTATGTGGTCATCTGGAATACAGCAAAACACCAAAAGGCTTCGTTGTGTGAGACTATGGCAACCAGCTTTATCAGACCACGTGCACATCACCTGCCCTCACACCTTCCCAATCCCTAATATGCCAGGAAGTCTCTTTTGAAGGTCCACAGTATATCCAGACGTCATCTGAGCGACTAGTGTCCAACGTTAAAAGGAGAAAAAAAAACGAAGATTGCAGTGGTAAGCAGCACACTCATTTCAAAGCCCACAAAGACACCCACATTGTTAGATTCTCCTAGAAAATGTAGTTCCAACTTTTTCCCCACAAGGATCATACGACTTGGCCAATGTTCAACGCATAAGCAGACTGTGCTTTGGTCCATCCACTCTCTCCAGCTTCTCAAAGTGCTTTCTGGCATTGCGGATGTTGATCAGTGTAGCTGCAGAAGCTGGCAAGGAGAAGAGGGAAGAGAGAGGTTGGGGGAGAACAAAACCAGAAGGTATGTAAGTATGGAAAGGATAGTAAGTTAAGAGCTGCCTGGAAAGGTCAACAAGGAAGTCTCCCTGCTGTAGTTCTGGCTCGCAGCAGCAGGACGGACGCTACAACATTCTGAGTGGCTTGGTTCACATATTCACTAATGCTTTGCATCTCTGGGTTTCACTCTGTGAAACATGGCAACAGACAAGGGACTATCCTACAGGCTTCACCATGCCACAATGAGTGACAGATTCTTTACTGACCAGATTTTTGGGAAGGTGACTTAAAGAATAGAATTTCTCTGCCTAAAGAGCATTACCTGTAGGAAAACGTATCAACACTCTGGAAAGCAATCTGCCCTCAATTAGCTCTGCTCTTGATATGTGGAAGCAATAAGTAGATCTGGGCTCGCTGATCAAAGAATAACTGTCAGAGTCAGAGACAGCTGCAGTGAAGCAAGGTTTGCTAATGGGTTGGAATTATGGAAGGAAGTTGCTTTAGCTTCTCAACTCCCCTATGTCAGTTCCTAAAGCACAGCAATATTGCAATGGCCAGCAAGTCCACAGCGTGGTTGGATTAACTGATGGGAATGATCAAATACAATAAGGAAAGTATTTGCTGTTCTTTAGGGAATTGTTGCACTGGAACCATGCTCCAGCAGGTTGTGCTGCACAGCACAGCACACCACAAGTTTTAGTTAAAGTTGTCAAGCTGCATAACAGACGTAGCCTAATGCAAATCTTTAGCAGTAAAACACAGGAATGTGTTATTGAATATCTAAGAGCCATCACACCAGGCTAGACATTTTTTGAAAAATGTAGATGCATCCATAATTGCTTCTGTGTATGAGGCCCAGCTGATACAGAAAGTGTACACGTTTAAGTTGAGTTGCTCCACAAAAGCCTCCACAGCTGCCACGATACAGCAAGAGTATTTACTCTGTGCTGCTTTAGTGAAACAGACTTCTTGATGGGCACTGACCAATTTAAACTCCCATATTCATTGTATTAATTATCATTCTGGATGACATCACTGAAGAACCTGATCAGTGGTTCTCAACCAGGATGCCACAGCACCCTGAGCTGCCTTGAGATCCTTTCAAAGGTGTCACACTATTAAGTGTGCAAACATGATTCACAAGATAAACCCAGAGATTTCAAATAGGAATCTATAGTTTTAAAACCATACTTCCTTGCTGTAGTCTCCTTCCGAGTCTTTTGCAATGGAAAAAAATGGCTCTATTGCTTTTCTGCAGTCAAAAAACAAGTGGAAACTAAGAGCCGGCATTTTCCAAGGGGCATCTTCAGTCTAACACTGGGTGCCCCAAGTCTAAAAAGAACAAAAACTACTGAACTTCATAGTCAAAGCTTGATCCTTTTTTGCACTGCAAGACCAAGCCCTTTTAACCATGCTTGCAACCAATGAGACAGCATGGTTAACACACAGAACCAGCCTAACCACCATAACGTATAGACGGGAGCTCTTTTAAGCCACCCAATTCAAATATGAGCTAATCAGCTTTAGTTCTTTGGAAAAACAACCCCAAAAATGTGTATAGTCTCGAACTTACGTATGGAAGGATCTGACATGACCACCATCACGTATGTATTCGACGTAAAGATATCAATGAAAGCAGCAAAGTTAGAGTTCCTGACCTCCATGCTCTGGAAAGAAGCAGCCAGCTTACTATAAGGGGGAAAGAAAAGCAAAGTTAGCTTCTGCTGAAAGAACATTTCTTCCAAAAGTAAGCTCTTCATTTGCACAGCATCTCATTTCTAAGGACACTTTTTCAGATCACAGTTTGAAGTCAAAAACTTTGTTTGCACAGTAACAATTCAGTCATTAGGCTTTGATAAATTCCTAATGCATGGCTGCAGTTCTCACTTTACAGCTACAAAACATGAAAATGTATTAGATTCTTTTTATTCAGTGCTGAATAACTAAAGCGTTCTTTGCAGGTGGAACCCACTAAGAAAATTCTACATACTGCACATTCAGTTTGTTCAAGTTTGCTACGCTTAAGTCAGCGTCATTTACCCACTGCATGCCATCCGGAATAAATCTGGGGATAAGGAACACAGGACAGGAGGAAACCAAAAACTATGGAGGCAGCCTAAGCCGCATAGTCACATGTCTGTTTCCACCACCATGTTCCAAACCTCTGTGGAATCTTGGGACAGGGGACAAAGACGGAGACATTTTGAAAAAGAAACTTTTCAAATCTTGTAGTGCGGCTTAAGCATTAAACTTCCAAATTGTGACTGCTACTACATTTGCTTTAGCAAGTGCTTCCTCTCAAACTAAATTTTTGGCTCTTATAGTCAAGTTCGTTTAAGTTTACAGTGCCACAAAGTGTTGTCACCAACTGTCATTAGGTCACCAGCTCAATTCAGTAACTGTTCTGCAGAGCTCAGGGGAAAAAAAATTGGAAAAGAACAACTGCCATTTCAAAACATGCCACGTTCAATGATTGGCACAAGGAAGTTATGAAAGGCAGGGGAAACTGACTACAGATACCACTTTAGATAAGACATCTTCTTTGGAGGCCAACTATTCACAGCATTATTCCTCATATCAAGCCCGAACTGCACTACAAAAGACATTAAGTACCAGGTGTGCCTGGCTGGGCACAGAGTGGCCATTTATCTCTAATCAGAGCTGCAGTAAATCAGTACAAAATGGGTCCTCTGAAATGGACCTGGAAACCCCAGAAGGACCTTCCAAGAGGGGTGGATCTAGACTGGCCAGCAATTCAATGCTTGAATTGCCTGCACATGCAAACTGGAAGATCAAAAACAAACATAGTCAAATGCAACTACTCTAATGACATGAATATATGTGAGTGTGGTGAAGTGAAGACTGCAGAGCACATGCTCATTTGCCGACTCCTTGGTGAGACTTGTATGAAGGAGGACCTTGCTACAGCAATGGAAAGAGCCATCACTTGTGTAAGATTCTGGAAAAACGTGTAGTTTATGACAAGGACACAAGAAGAAGCAGAAGCAGCACGAAGTGAGGATTCCAACTCCCACTCGCATGCTGAAAACTACATGTGCTTTTTAATGTTGCTAAAAAACCTGATAATCCATCTCACCTGCAGCTCAGTTTGAACTGTTTGATAATGTTGCTAATTTTCTCAAATCTGTGGATATCACGCTGCTCTTTACATTGATAGTGGGAAATGACCTTGGGGGGGGGAAAAAAAAAGAAAATCAATAGCAATTCAATCAAAGCAGAGGTTTCCACCCATATTTCCAACAGATAGTCCTGTGGATCTCCTCTCTTTCACCCTGCCATTTTCCAAAAGTCAAACCACCCCCATACTTGAAGCTACACTGTGGCCACTTCAAGCAACTGTTCTAAGACACTTCATTCCTATTCAAGGTCTGTCTGCACCAATTTTCTGGAAGCATTTTTCATCCAAGGAATGATACATTTTGAGGAAAATTAAGTTCTGCCTTAGGCCTGGGTGGGGAACACTAATTATGTGGCCACAGCTACACTTGATTCTGTCCTATATCAGGGCTGTCCAACTGGTAGCCTGTGGGCTGCATGCATCATGCAAGCAATTAACTTCCAGCCACCTGGCTATGTGCCTCTATTGCTTTGGAGGAAGGAGATGACCCATTTGCCAGCAATACAGCAAGGGGCGGGAGAACCTACCTATGTGCACAGTACAGTGGAAGGAGGTCAGGAAATGCCCTGGTGCACACAGCATGCAGCCTAAAGGGGTTGTGGCCACCTCCAGTGTCAGTGGTAGGGCATGTGGTCCCCAGTGACTTAGAAATTGGGCAGTCCTGTCCTAAGTGACTGTGGTACTTCATACATTCTTATAGACTGAAGCCCAAATGGTCAGTCATTCTGCTGCAGGAAGGCTGTCATGCATTAGCTCTTTCTGGCTTGTGTCTCTCTTCTTGAGAGTATTTTAGGGCAACATAACAGCTTATGCATTAAACTTCCAGAAGTCATGGAACAAGCTGTGATATCTGCAATAAGACCTGGCAGTAACAGAGGACACTGGTAAACGTCATTAGGCTCTTGCTTTCTTTATGTGGCATTATAAACTAGGGCAATGGTTCTCAAATCATTTTAGACGCAATCATTTCAGCCAACTTAGACTGAAAAGGGCCAGCTTGGTTTGCTCCTGTCGATTACAAAAACAAAAGACCAATTCTTCTGTTGCAAAGAACTTGGAACACAACAGGTCAAGGTGCTTTTAAGCACTGTGGATTCCTATACGAAATCTCTGAGCTTATCTTGTAAATCACGTTTGCACGCCTAACAGTGATAACATTGTGCAGCACCCCGCAGCATCCTTGAAAGGATCTCAAGGCACCCCAAAGTGCTGCACCACTCCAGTTGAGTATCACTGTACTAAGGTTATGTGAGAACTATAGCATTCAAGTGCCTGAGGTAGATGCTTCTATTTAAAATATGAAAATAGATCTTATTTTTGAATCTGAGAGTGTATTCATCCAGATATGCACATATCTGGACTAGTGGAATGCTATGCCAATAACAAATTACATGGGCAGTACCCAATTCTCAGATAAACATTTGAGTTATTACTGGGTTTTGGATAGTTTTTACAAATGTGTCAAAGGGCTTTCTCTTCCAGGGACTGTAAGTCCAGAGGAAATGTGGCATTTCATAAACATGAGTGAATGTTGTAAAGAAGCCCCAAAATGCCATTTCTGGTTTTTGATGTCATGTTTAAATTGAAAATAACTTAGCTGCCTGCATCACAAACAGTCTGAGTGATAATACAGGCCTTACAATGAAATGCTGTCAGTCATTAGTGCAATACTGATCTTTAAAAAAAAAAAAAAAAAAAAAA